GTCCTGCAAACCGAACAGGCCTTTCAAAACTTTGACCAGATGTGTCTATGCCATTATTCAGCCAGCTATGTAATCAAAGGTGCACCGTCGTTCTTTGACAGGTGTGTGTAATAAATGCAGCCGAAATAAAGCCAACAAACTCTCCTCAGCTGTGCAGTGAGGACTTCGTGGTGGATAAATGGGTCAAAAAACACAGGGGGGATGGCGTAACGGCCTGTTACCATACTCATTGAAGTCATCTATTTTTTCTCAAGCTAAACCCCCCAAAATTGTTTTTGTGCATTTACATAAGCAAAAAGTACTGCACAAATTTTATGAGCAATCCCTCATTTCTTTTCATTTTGCTTCCGAGGACCAAGATCTTTTCTTATGGTATTGTTGCTTTTTCACTCATTTTCAGTAGAGTGCTTGTATACAACCATTTGCAGGGGAATATGTTAAGCCATTTAACAATGACCTAAGGCTTATTCAAACATATTAAAGTCACCTAAATCTACAAGTAACAGACAACTTAGTAAACATTTACATTTTGCATTTCTTTAGATATCACAGTTTGATAATCATAATGTCGTATTTTTGCAGCAATAAGGTGATTGGCATAGAGCTATTAACTGAAAAAAGTGGCCTATCTTGGCAAAATGTAACTGGACAAGAGGAAATAAAAGAAGTCATAAAACTGTCCACAGCAAATAAGAAGTATCTGGAAGTCAGGTCCATAAGAAATAGAAATACAAGACCTGACAGGACCTGACAGATGCATCTAGCCATTCAGCTGATCGATCTATTGTTTGCCAAACCCTCATCAGAAAGTCTCAGCTGAAAGGTGGCTATCAAGAAGCCATTCTTATGAAAGAGGGAGAAAAGGTATGCCAAATTGAATCCATCTATCCATCCATCCATTCGCTTCCACTTATTATGTTCAGGGTCGAGGGGGGCGCTGGAGCCTATCCCAGCTGTCTTAGGGTGAGAGGCGGGGTACACCTTGGACAGGTTGCCAGTCTGTCGCAGGGCCAAATTGAGTCCAATGAATCCATAGATCAAACTTTGAAATCTTTGGATCAAATTGTTGTCGATGTGTGCTAAGGAGAGAGGTGTTAAAGTGTCAAAGCCAAATGTAAAACAGTAAATATGGTGGAGGAATTGTCCTAATTTTGTTTTGAAGCACACACCGAAATATGGTTCTGAGAAGAACTATATTAAAACATACATCATGTTCGTGAGCAGAGAAATAGAGACATGTGATATTGTTACTTTTTCATGATCCTTAGCAATGAAGGAGGAAAGTTAGAATCAAACATTTGCTATGCAAGTCACTCTCTTTGGGGAAAAAACCATCATTTGTACAGTCACAGTGATGCAAGCAGCTACTGCCATTGCTTAAGAACACATGACTTAAATCTCTGCTGGTCCTGCATACTCAATTTCAATAACCACAGCAGCAATTTTGTCCAATAAGAATGAGTAAATAAGGTAACAGATTATATTATTGAAAAAGACAGTTTAGTCGTGTAGGAAATTCAGCTGCAAAATGTAAGATTTGTTATTGGAATGAATAATTAATTATTTATTTTATGAACTGAATGAGTTTATCATCATTTTATCATCTCAATTGCTATAAAGTATCTTCAACACAGCATGATGTTTATTTTGTAAATGATGTTGCTACTTAGAGCATAAAAGATAAAGCAGGGTATTAAAGTGACGAAGAAAATGTATTATTATCCTACGATTGACAAGTTGCTTAGGAATAGTGTTGTTATCTTTAGTCACTTTAGTTTCTCTCAATCAGTTCCACATATTGCTTATTCACAGATGCTTGCAATAAAAGACTATTCATAGAGCCATATTTACGCACTTGAGCATATTTTGCACCAGGTAAAATATTTCAGTTAATGTCAGTGTGAATGGCTGATTAATTTGATCATCTCCCACTCTTACTTACAGTGTTACTTCAGTTGATTGAAATTTGCAGGCATACCTTTATGCACAGCTATCTTAAAGTCCCAGCACAGCATCTTAATCCAACTGAGGTCTTGAATGTGACTGGGTCATTGTTGCACCTCAGTTCTTTTCTTCTTCGGCCATTCTGTTGTAGATTTGCTGTTTTACTTGGAATATTTGTCCCACTGGAAAACTCAGTCTGGACCAAGCTTTAGCTGTTGGACAGATGGCCTCATATTTGAATCTAGAATACAGAAGAGTTCACGGTCAGCTTAATGGCTGCAGGGTGCCCAGATCCTGTGGCTTCATCACTTCTTCGTGTCAGTGCTTGATATTTGACATGAGGTGTTTCTGTTAATATGCTGTGCCAAACCTATGGGCAATCATCTTTATCTGAAGGACATTGTCCCAGAATGGCCTGGCCCTAAGGGTGTAATTAAATGGAATTTAACTGTATTTTAGCTGAAATTCTCTCTCACGTTGTACGTATGCTGTACTTTTTGGGGCGTGGGCTGTATTATGGAATGGCTCCATCTTGTCTAATTTCCAGCTATACTTTAAGTATACTGTAAAAGCCTGAAAAGCCCCTGTATCTAAGATGGGGAAATATTGTCTGTTTTTCTGCTAAATTACCAGGACATTACGCAGTAGGTTACTTTAAAATTAATTCCGCACTACTTAAATTTACTTACATTTAGGGATGTCAAAGAAAACCGATACTCAGATATTGTTTGACACTAAAGTTATTTTCGAATTTGATATTAATTTGCAAGAATATCAATATAAACAGTGTCCTTGTCACCTCCTCCACCTGGCACAGTACTTCAGAGTGCACCATTGCATACAAACAGGCACACAGCTCCTCTCCCCGCTAACACTTGAAGAAATTAACATTCATAACACTGAAGAAAACTTTAAAATAATTTTAAAGAGGTCACCACGGCTCTCATTTCAATGACACTGAAGTATTAGACAGTCATTATAAATGTCACCTTGAAGTCGCACACGTTAACGTTAGGCGTTCAACTGTTAGCAGCTACCCGATAGCCACATTAACCACCTGTTATCATTAACTTAGCGGCTAGCAGACTGCAAATCAAGGATAGAATATTGAGTCATTCCTTCTGTTGTTGCAGGATGAGGTCAAAATCGTCCCAATGGTATCAAAAATGTTATTGGGTATGGAGTATTTTCCTGGGTTCTTTTTGTAGTAGTTTGAAATTCTAGTATCATTATAACCTTACTTACAGTTGTAACTATAATTACATTGTAATTTCAAATAAAATACACTGATATTCAATTTAATTACAGCTGTATTATCGAGTGTTACTTTCTTGTGATTTTTTTCAGATGCACCTTTGCAAACCTAAGCCATGTTGCCATGTTCTTTTAGAGAGAAAAGGCTTTTTCCTGGCAACCCAGGCATACTTTTTCAGTCTTTTACTACTACCTTTTTGTACTGTCATGAACTTTAACATTTAACCCGCTAATGGAGGGCTGCAGAGTTGAAGATGTAGCACTTTGTTATCAGTTTCTCTAACCACTATATGGTCTGACCTTGGGGTAAATTTGGTGGGATGTCCACTCTTGTTAACACACACTTTGATGCTCCAGACCTGCATACTGAAAACTTCAGCTTTTATTGAAGTGGCCACACTTGTTGATGATCAAATATTAAGTGCATTTCCTTGGAAGTACCTGTTACTGTACCACTGCTGTTACTAACATCAAGGCTTCAGAATATTAGCCACACAAACACAACAATGGTTGTAATGTTGTGATTACACGTGTTTTATGGAGGTTGTAAGCAAGGAAGCAAGGAAGAGAAACAAGCAGAGCTGAATGAGACAGAGGGACGAGAATCTTAATTACGGCCATAATCATCACCGATTTCGCGCTCATTTCATTTTATGTGGCAAAGTTGTCGGCTTACATGCGGTGATGAATGGATGGTATGCTCTGTCAGGGAGCTGCAAGGCTTTCAATGCACTTCCTCTATTTCTCCCTCTACATGGGGTGTCTTCTGCTTAATGACTGACTCCAAACAAACACTGGCAGTTGGAGGAGGAGAGGAGGAAGAGTAAAGGAAAAGGTGCAGAAAAATAGAGAGGACAAAGTATGGACATAGATTAAATGAGAATAAATGAGAATGAGGAAGGAAGGGAAATAAGATTGTGATGTTGAACAGGAACAGGAAAAAAGATGATAAAGGGATGCAAATGAAGAGGTCATGGGAAGACAATACAACAAGGAAGTATGTAAAATGTAAGGGGACAAAAAGCAGAGAATAGGATGATAAAAGCAAGGTGGAAGGATGAGTAAGAAGAAAGCAGAAAGGAAAGAAGAAGAGCTGTAGGAACTTTTTTAAAAAAGATTAGAAAATGACGAGGTTAAAAGGAATCAGGGGTGGAAGTAGGTCGGGAGGAAGAGGTCAATGAAAAGACAGTGAGTCAGGAAAAGAGAACTGTAAATACACAAAGGAGTTGGAAACAGTGGAAGAGGAAAAAATGATAGAAGGAGAGAAGATGCTTACAGAAATGAGGCAAAAGCAGAACGAAACTCAGTGCAAGAAAGGACATAAAAGTTAAAGAAGAAAAAGACAACAAGAGAAGTGAGGGAAGAAACGAAAGAGGAATTATTAACTTCAGCCAACTGGGAAACAAAGCTGAATAGGTCTGCTTCAGTTGTTATTACCCTTTAATTTAGACTTCTAAAAAAAGGAAAAAACACTTACAAAAAAATCTGTTTCAATCTTCATCTTGCATTTAAACTGATATGTTTTACAACTGAACGGTTTATAGAGGTTATAGCTGGGAGGGAGTCCTACAGGTAATTTTTTTCAAGCCAGCAGATGTCACTGTAGAGCGACAGGCGATCCTTTTTACTACAGAAGAGGAAAAAAAAGGACATAAAAAAAATCAAATATTAAATGTTCAGGTGTATTTTACAGAACATATTCAAATAAATATTAAAACATTATTTTGTTATTATTTTCTTCATCTGCAAAATTTAAATTAAATTAAATAAATAAATTGAACCGCATTTCCCACAATGCACTGCAAGGTTGGAGGTTATCTGGACATGTGTAGATACCCACAACTGCCGCCTCTTTTTAGTGATAAATTAGAACTTTGCTCTGTTTATTGTGCAACACTTATTTTCCGCGCCGGTGTGTGAGTGCTGCGTGTCCGTTAGCGTCCACCCTGCGTGTATATGAGTGACAGCAACGCAGACGCTGAGCGGAACGACAGTCCTGCTACAGACAACCACCCCGCGCTGCTCGACTGCTGCGGAGGGCTCAACAACGTCGATTATTCCAAGGTAAAAGTGAAGCCGTGTCACAGGAAGTTGTTCCGCGTAACGTAGCTCCGCTTCCCTGAGAAGCTACATTTGTCTCTTGACAGACCGACTGAACTATTGAGTGCTGACCGCCGGAAAACACAGTCGGTACAGTTGGTAATTTCAAAATAAATGCACGACTTTCTTCATTCGGAGAACACGTGTTTACTATGACCAGTACAATGCAGTTTCAGCATAAAACACAGACGTAACAATTCTTGTCTGTTTAATTGAGCCATAACATGTATATTTTGTGACATGCAGGGTATTGTTATGCTCTTATTTTGATTAAAACAGAAGAGGTTATGTAACCGGCGCAGGTTGAAAAATGGAGCAGGGAAAGTGCCATGTTTGCTAGCTATTAAATTGTGCATTTCAAAGATAAGTTCATTATTATTGAAGTAATAATACAAATACCAAGCAGAACATTTTAACATTACATTTTCCATATCCATAAACGAAATATGTCTTAGTAAATTTAAAAAAATGATTAAAGGTTAGGTGTTATTTATTTATATATTATATTTATCTAACTCAGCCCATCATATTTTTATTTACATTTTTAAATGTAATTTTTAAAAAAATTTATTTTCATATTTTAATTTGTGTATGTATCTGTTGATGGCTGGCAACTTTGTGCAGACGTTTAGCTTCATTTCCACACATGACAAATATAAATATATGTAAAGACGAAAAATGCAAAAATGTAATTGTGTAAGCTGTTAGCCTACAGAATCTTGTGAGCATGTAATATCTTATCTGCTGCATATATCTCAACAAAGTAATGCTAACCTGTTCAATTTCCCTTTTCACTTTTCTTATCCTTCCAGATAAAAGATTAGCTGTGATTAGCCTTTTTAATTAAAACACACGGTAGTGTGAAGTGTTTTTGCCACCCTTTTGTCCTGCTCCATTAAATCTTGGCAGATATTTACTTACCATTTGCCAGTTTTATTCAGTTTTACCCCTGTAATGTAAGAACCCCTCTTCAAGAGAGGGGTTTGCAAACCCCTCCAAGCTCTTGTAATCCAGACCATTCCTTTAGCAAAGCCTTCAGGCTGAAAAGAAGTAAATTTTATGTAGTCACGATGCTGTCATGAAGTCTGCAGATCTTTCCTGTTGACTAACTGCAAAATGGCTTACAGTACTTTTGGCTATAATTCCCTTTTGGTGCTGACACTGTGAAGAACACAGAAGACACCCAAAGTAAACAGAGGGCATTAGCCTAAGGACGGATTTTATTGCTTTCCATCACTGGCGCCAATGGATATAAAGTGGAAAACCACACAGAGGAGCCTACTGTTTTTGAAAGAAATCTTATCGCTGTTGCTGCACTTCATAAAAATTAATTAATTAAGTAATCTTTACACCCTTCAGCGTGTTTCACTGTATGATCTGTGATTATTTTGCTCCTGCTTATTCAATATCAAAGCGCTGTACGAAAGCTTTTGATATAGCATGACTACGCGGTAACTGGCCAGTTCAAACCATAAGTCAAGGACACTTTGGTCAGATTAGGGAAGATGGTTGTATAATGTGTAATAGACTGTATATGAAAGATGAGCTGAAAATTGTTTTGTAGACTTTGCTTGGAATTGGCCGGTAGAGCCAGGGCCTTGTCATCTAATGCTAGTTCTGGCTAGTTAGCTTGGTTAACAAGGTGCATCTGCTATTTATTGTCATGTTATATGGAATGGATGTGACCTTAATTGACAAGTCAATTTTTTGTTTCTCTTATTTTCCCGTGGTTATTTCTTTCAGATGGACTTGACGCTGTTGGAAGCCTTCCTAAAACACATTCATGTTTACGACTCCCGCTTGTGTATTGCTGTGATTGCCATCCTTTTTAACCCTTTATTTTGGAATGTGGTAAGTGCTGCTCTAGATTGTATTAGAGCTTTTTTTTTAGCTACTAAATAAGAGTGTGTATTAGTTTTAATGTGTGTACTTCTCATCCTGTGCAATCAAAACCTTATTCTTCCATTGCCAAAAAGAGCAATTGTTTTCCAATACATTTTTGTTAGACTTTTCGATTTGAAACCTGTGACGGTTACCTTCAAACAGCAAAAGTCAATACTTAAAATTTTTTTAAAAAAAATCGAACCAAACAGTTGGATTGGAGGCCTGTTATTGCAAATAGGATTTGTAGCTTCCAAGATGGCTTCAGTGTTAATTCTGCGTTTTTTAGCATAACAAATGTAGGTCATCAGCATATGAGTTATCAGGTTGAGATCTGAACTTTAACAGGGTCATTAACACTGCCTCAAACCATGACACAGCCTCCATTGTTTTACAGATGCCTTTAGACACTCACTGTTGTCTCTCTTTTTTGTCTTCTTCCAAGTCAAAAGAAGCCACAGATTTTGTTTTGTAATTTGGCGTACTTCAGCCTTTTCTCCATGTTTCCCTTTCTTAAAAATGGTTTCTTAACAGCCACTCTGATGACCATTTCTGATGAGCCTTTAGTGAACAGTAGGTGGATCAACTGAAGGGGCAGATGCAGCCCTCAGGTCTTGTGTCATATCTTTGCTGTTTATTTTTCCTATTTGTTAAGGATAGGACTTTTATGTATTATTAATCTGCTGTAAATAGTTTTCTTTTGCCCTCCCTATTCTTCCTTTGCCCTCCACATGTCCACTTTCTTCACGTTTTTAAGGACTAACTGCACAGCATGCTGAGATATGTCATGTTTTTGGCTAATAGCAGTATGGGAGTCAACGTGTTGGAGATTAGTAACTAAGGAAGAGTCTGCATTCATATTTTTAGTCCTTTACATCATCAGAGGGTAAAGACTCATTACATAAACTTTTACGTGACGCTCCACAGATGCTCCAGGTATCAAGTGCAGGCATAAGTGCTCACGTCTTTCCCACTGATGGTAGTTATTGAGACAATTAAGTCAACACTGTGGTCTAATTATATCTGGAAGTCTACATAATACTGTAAATACAACATTATGTTACATAAAGCCAACTCAGCATATTAATATCTAAAGTACGTAAGCATTAGTTAGATTAAAAAAACATGCATATATATCTATACATCTTTAATTAAAACTTCACAAGAGGTCAAACAGATATATTGCATTTTCATATGTCTCATTGGCTCCAGCAGCCTTCATTTACTCTATGATGCTGCTGCTTAACTTTCATAATAACAATAACAATAATAAATTACTCTGCAGTGGAATTATTCTCTGAAATTGGCCTAATTTAACTAGAGTTTCACTGCTCCAACTGGTTCATGTGTCGGGTTTCGAAATTCATTTAATTAACCTTTTAATGATGACTCACTTGGCCATTTAATCTATCCACCGTAACACCTGCACAGCCCAGCAAGAAGCCCCAGCATGTTTGTCTTATGGAAGGAGAAGCCAATTATCTGCATTTAAGTAAATGTCACTGAGGTACTCATTTCAAATCATCCTGTTTCAGCGTTATGATGCAATAGAAGCTTTAAGTGGCTATAATGTGAGACAAACAGCGTTAGGATTTGCTCATATAGAAAGGTTATCAAACTTTTCACTTTTTTATTATCTCCTCTGTTTGAGCTACAGCGCGGTAATTGTCAAAGTTGTGACTACTCTGGATGGAGGTTTAATTAGATTTTATTGGAATATTATCTTGTTAAAGAGTGACTCAACACATTTGGGATGGATGGTGTTATTCTCTACCCCAACATCAGGCTAAAGGAACTGCCAGTGGGATTTTAAGAAGAAATGACAATCCCTTTGTTGTCACCTAAAGAATAAGGAAGATGATTGTACAGACTGATTTGATAGAAGGTAGTGGAAAAGTAAATGTTACACTCCCAGTTCACTTTTTCTTTTTGTGAATTAATATAATAGATGAGTTATGGAGGTATTTTGCAGCTAATAATGCTAGAGGATGTTTGGATTAGATAAGTTTCCTCTTGCTAACTGATCCAATAGATGCATTTCCAAGAAATATTTGACTGTTAAATTGATTGACAATTTTACAGGTTTTTTTTCTTGTTTTTTTTTTGTTACCAACTAGCTGCTAACTTTGAATTTAATTTAGCTGTTAGGAAAACGTTTGCTACAATGAGAACAGCATGAATAATAATTAAAGAGGTGAAATGTGATGTAACACCAGTTTGAGAATTTCTACTTTGAAGGTAGTTTATTGTATTTTATCCATTATTATCTATGTGCCAGAAGTGGCCATTTCTAGATGGGATGTTTCTGCTTTGGGTTAGCCGTCTTATGAATGTATAAAGACACAAATATGTATAATGATACAGTGAAGTAATATTATACATATAAACATGCCAGAATTTATTTTTTGTGTTGTTTTGGTAGCTGCCATTTTTTTTTAAGTGTATTTGCATCTACACGTTTAATTCAGTTTCTGACAAGTTTTATTAAAGCAGGCTACCTGATGAAAGTGTCAAAAAGTCAAAAACTGCAGTTCCACTAGTGGGAACCTAAGGCTGGTTAACAAAGGCACCAGTGCATCAGCATTGCACCCTAACCCTTGATAAGGAGCGTGGCCACTTTGACTGACATAGCCTAGACAGCATCTATTACTTCAAATTATCAAGCTAGACCTCAATGTTTAGTTTTTGTGCCGTTGGTGCCTTTGGGGGCATTTTAAATAGATTCTCTGACAACATAATGGCCTTCTGTGTTGTAAACACCAGCACTACATACAGTCCAATAACTTTAACCAACCTTTAAAGTTGCAATCTGGCACGTGTGATATTATTTATATGCTATTAGCATATAATATTTTTAGACTACTTAATTTATTTTAACACAGTCAAAGTAAAAATGTACCCTAGAGATGTTGTAGCCTGAATTATCTCTAAGAAGGATGAGCATTTAATTGGAAAGCTTCCAACACTCTCATACTTCAAAGTTGCCAGTCTACTTTATTATTAGTGAGCAAGGACATGAAGCTACTTTTGCTTTAACAGCTGCAGTGTGAGGTACACGGTGCCCTGTTAGTTGTTTAACACAACAGGAGATGGTTGAATTGACAGGAGAGTCTGTAAAAGCAAAAGCGTCTGAGCTGAAGATGTTTTGCAGTTTGGAACGACCCAGTAATTATCCTGTGGTCTGTCTACTGTCTGCAGATTTTTTTAGGTAACAGAATTTACAGTAGGTCACAGTCACACCGCATTGTGACAAAAGAAATACTTATAAGAACGCAAATTGTTTCCTGCTGCACATTCAGAGGGAGCCTAAATGTCCGGGTAAGACTAAAGGCAACTGAAGAACAGTTTGGAAGACATTCCCAGCCCTCTTTTGGCTTTGGGACCAAATTCTTTAGATGTGATCTCCTAAGAAGACATTTCTATTCTGTTTGAGTATGTCAGGAAAATAAGGACAGTCCTTCTTTCTGCACACTTACATTTTATTACCAAACTGACTGACAAAAATGCTGATGGTTATTTAAAATTTCATTTTTTATGTGTAGGTTTTTTTAATAAGTCTAGTTTGGACCAGACATTTCAAAATACTTCAGAAATCACTGTCTGTGAACACAGTTCATGCAGATAACATGATCTAGAAACCTGCCATCTTCTCTGGGCTGAAGCTCATTTAAGACGGACTGAGGCAAAGTGGAAAACTGTTTGGTCAGATTAATTGAAATTGTCTTTTGGGAAACATGAAAGAGGGGAGCGGCTAGTCCGCTTGTTATCAGCAATTTGTTTACAGACTACATCTCTGATGGTGCATAAATGCTTATAGAATAACCAGATTGCTCATCTAGAAAGGAATCATCAATGCTTGAAGGTATTAAAACTTTTTAGGTGAACCCCAACTATTTACCTGTTTTTCATATTCAAGTGTGAAAATTGTGTAAAGTATTTCCTCCCATTATCTGGTTTTATTTTCACTTCTGAAAAACACCAAATGCACAAATATCATTCATATCAACCACTTAATTTCACAGGAAAAATTTGCACGGCTAATTTTATTCTTTTTTCTTCACATGTAAATTAACAGATCACTGTGTCTGACAGCAAGTGCTCAAGGTGTGCACCAGTACAGGAAATACAATAGTAGCATTTTACCTCAGACACACAATTAAACGCTGGTCCAACAATGTGGGTGTCCTTCTTTTTCAGCATGTGAAGATATAAACTAATCTGAACTAAGTTATAAATAACTTTATTTAAAAAGTACTGCCATATTTTTAGATTTGTCTTAGGGAAAGGTATCATAAATAGTTAAATGAACTGGGAGAAAATCACCTTTCTATATATAAAGCAACATGTAACTGAAATGTTCTATCAGGAGGTGAGAGACATTCTGTAGAAGTTGTTATAGAGTGCTAAAAAAATCCGTATTTCCTGGTCACACAGCTTTTTATTAGAAAACTCCAGGTACCTATTAAAAGTCTCAGCATAGAGGTATAAGTCTGCAGTGAGGTACTACTGAATACGTGCACCCACACGTGGTTCGACCTGTAAAAAAGCAATCGCAGCTTGGCAGGTACCAGTCAGGAAGCTTTATCCCATTTGCACTCAAACTTTACACAAATAAAGAAAAGCTGTTTTTTATCACCATATGAGGCCACGCTATGCTAGTGTTTCCAAATCGTGTTTCTTATGCAACAAAATATCCCTGAACTGTTCCAACGTTTATACTGAATCGGATGATGTAACTAAAATGAGATGAAGCACAGAGCAGCTGCCCTGTTACAACGTGAAGTCGAGGCGCGCTTCAGTTAATCTTTAAATTAAACATCGTAATGGTGTTTAAAATGCAAGGTTGGTTAACTGCTCTACATCAGGAGGAAAAACACAAACATATCAGGATGTCCAACCTTCTACCTTTGGTCAAACACAAATTGGAGGCTGTTGCTAACACATGCTCAACAAACATGATAAAAACAGAC